TGTGTATCTGTAGCCAAACGGAAGAAGACAGTCTATATTCTTAGCAGCATGCACAGCGTGGTTCAGACTGATAACACCACCAAAAGGAAGCCAAACACTGTCACCCTTTACAACAAAACAAAGTGTGGCGTGGATGTGATGGACCAGATGGTTCGGGAGTACACTGTCCGCAGAGGAACACGGCGCTGGCCAGTCGCCGTGTTTTATAACATGATTGACATGGCAGCACTGAATGCACATGTGCTGTATCAAGCATGCACCGGGACGAAGGAAAGACGGGTGGACTTCCTGGTGGAGCTTGCAAGAGAGTTGGCTCACTCTCATGTAGCTGGGAAGAAGGCAAGAAAAGAACAGTTGCTTTGGACACAACCCTCCACACCTAGCCCTGGAAAAAGAGCCATGTGTCAGGTCAAACACAAATGCAAGAACAATCATGCCACTGTGCGATGTGTTCACTGCTACAGATACACATGTGGTAAATGCAGACTACAGATACCATGGCAGTGCCAGGATTGTGAGTGATTGCTGAAAATGTTGAAATGTACTCACTCACTTTTTATTATTATTTGTAAATATGTGTACAAATGGTTGGTTTTTTGTACTGTTTTTATCAATAAATCTCAGCAACAAAGGACATACACCCATGTGTGTTGATTTCTCCCTAAGATGGCAAACTGAAACACAAGTTTCCTTGTGGCTCAGGAAACTAACTACTCCAAGTTGGTGACTTTTGGAGATTTATTTCCCTGGATGATTGAGAATGCATCAAGACGAACACAAAAGGAAGTTCACAGCTTTTAGCAGCTCCCCCACCCCCTCATTCACACACCCCCACTCCCCTCCAGAATTCCCAGGTAACAACCTAATTTACATATGAATGACTAGCCAATTTAGCTTCCACTTGGCTGAAGCTAAAGCCTAGCTAAAAGCCTACCAGCCATTTGGCTGCAACACTGCAGTACAATTTTCATGATCAGTATAATCATGACAGTGAATTCTAATAGTTTATACCAATCTCAGCTTGAATGAACTTCTGTGCACTGCTGACAGAAAGTGCTGCTTTGAGAGCCAGATAGCTAAAAATGGGGGGAGCATGTATACGTTATTAGCTGTGGCTACTTTTCCTTTTATTTTCTCTTTGAACATGTACTATTTCAAAACGATGTGGCTTTCACAGTTAGCTTAACAGATTAACAAAGAGGGTAAGGTGCTCAGAGAGGTTTATCTGCTCTTTAAATTTCAAAATTAGCCTTTCGAACAATGACATGTTGATGTTTTGGAGGCAAAATGTGTGAAGTGTCAGCCAATGCATGGGGCCAGTATGATAGCTCAAACGAATGGATGTGATACCTAACAGAAAGCTGTGATCGCTTCATTTTTTAGCCCTAGAGGTTGCTACATGTACCAAATCTGCTTGAAGAAGACATTTGGCAAAGATACACTGTCTTCACACTTAAGAAGATAATTTCAAATTGTAGGTAATGACCAAAAAATAAAAGAAGGTAGATTATGACTAAGATGGAGAGCAACTTGTTTAAAGCACCTAACTTAACCTTATACATTAATACTTTATCAACCAGTGTCAAAACGGATGATTCCGTAAAAGCTAATGATGATAACTACAATAAGCTGTGCTTCTAACATTCCTGCATGTGTTAGCTTGGGGCACTGTGCTAGTTTGTCCTCTGTAAACCCTGCTGTGTTTTCACATCCTCCTTCTCTCAGCACAGCATATGGCATTTTTATTGGGGGGAGTGCACACAGTCAAGCAGATAGATCACAGATGATTGCATTTTCTTCCTCGTGCTGTCCTTTGCCTTCTCCTCCTTCTCTATATCAGCCAGGGTAGGAGGGGGTTTTCACGAGGAGCACTGCACGTGCCGCCTCATATTTAATTACTTAGGCATGTAGGCTAAAGCAACACAACAATTCCATTTCACTGCAGCCCCCTGAGATTTTATCCCTGTGTACAAAGCATGTTGCATGTGTGTGTGTTGCGTACCCTATTTATTTCTCTGCCTGCTGTTCCACATGGAGACTCTGAGCATGGGAGACCTGGTGTGTGTATCTGTGTTTGCAGATGGCAGGAATGCCAGGTCGGAGTGAGTGGGAGGAGAGTGATTATAGGCTGTGTTGCTTCTTTATAGGTGTGTTTGAGGGTAGCCTATATCTTTTATAAGATTGTTATCATATTGTATTTGTATGTGGGTGTTTTACATTATAGAACAACTGCTGATCTTACTGTGTATGCACCAACTAAGAGTCTCACTTGCTTGCAGGATATTATGATTGAAACATATAGCTGAAGTGAAGACTTTTTCTTCTTCTTCTTTTTAAATTGACCATAGCAATAGCTCAGGTAGGCCATTAAATCTAGCTCAGTTGCAATACTGGCAGATCAAGTCATCTTCGTTCAAGCATGCATCACCTGATGCCTCAGTTGATTGTCTTCTATCCAGCTGGCAAATCTCTAATGTGTAATCACACATTACAGAGCATCTGCAACCCACCTCTACCCCAATGCTTCCTCCCTGTATCTGACATAATCAATGTAGGATTTATTGTCGTGGATGTTTTATTGTGGAAAGATACAGACCTCTCCCTGACTCTTTCCTTTTTCTTTTTTTCCGTCTTCTAAAGATATAAAATGTCAATACAAAAATATAACATTATAATCTGTAATTTCACAGTCCACACAAATTTTTGGTATCATTTAAGTAGTTATATGTCTAAAAAGACAAATGATGTTGCTTTACATTTGTAAAGCACAAATAGTGAAAAAATATGCAAAGCTGAAAATAAAGGTGCTGTATTCTTTTTAAAAAATATATTATATCACATAAAATACTTTGATGAACCCACTCCTTCCTGCTGTGTTAGACTAAATCAGTCCTTTGGGTTGTCTTCGTTGCCTGCTCCGTTCTGTGATGGGTTTTGCTCTTCATGCCTTTTACGTTCCATTATTGCACACTGAAGGGTGGGAAAGTCTCAGTAAAGAGTTATACCACCGTATATAAATTACTGCAGGTGGAACTAGCAATCTTCTCTTGGCAATAGAGTTGTTAACGCTAGTGTATTTTCAGTTTAAACTATGAATAATTGTGTGACTTATCCTCAAACAAAGGAATTTCAGGCCAAACAGGTTAATACATAACCATATAGTGAAGCATTGTGCTGGTGTACTGTGGAGACGTTTTTTGGCTGTGGGAACTGGAACTGAATGCAAGCAATGTACGGAGACATCCTTGATGATAATCTGCTTCAGAGCACCAAAAGGACGACGACCCTAAACACACAGCCAAGATAACAAAGTAGTGGTTTCGGGAAAACTCTGTCAATGTCCTTGAGTCGCTTCAGCCAGACCCAGAGTGGAAGCCAACTGAACATCTATGGAGAAATTTGAAAATGGCTGTGCACTGACCCTCCCCATCCAAGTTGATGAAGCTTGAGAGGTTCTGCAAAGAAGAATGGGAAAAACTGCCCGAAAATGGATGTGCCTAGTTTGTAGCATCCTACAGAAAGGCTTGAGGCTGTAATTGCTGTCAAAGTACTTCGATAAAGTACTGAGCAACGACTGAATGCTTTTATGCATTAGCATTCATATTACACATTTCAGCCCACTTTTTTATCGTCATTATGGGGTTTTGTGTGTAGATTTTAAAATGAAAAATGAATGTAACTGTTTTTGAATAAGGCTGTAAGCATGGCAAAATGTGTGACATGATGCACTGCATATCCTTGTGTACAATATACCCTACATACAGAAAGTATGCTGGCAAGATGGTGGCTCAGTGGTTTGCACAGCAAAAGACACCTGAGGTTAAACACTGGCCAAGACCCTTTCAATGTGAAGTTTACATGTTGTCCCTATGCTTGCACAGATTTCCTTGAGGATTTGTGATCTCTCCCATCATTAAAAAAAAACATGCCGTATAAAGGTGTCCTTGACCGTAGAGGTGGCATTGGTCCCTGGGTCCTGCATGTTTCCCACAGCTAATTCTGAGGATGTGTTAAATACAGAGAGTGAATTTCCCTGTGGGGATTAATAAAGGATAAGTTAATTTATACAGTACAAAGGTTGACTGACCCCATTATTTGCTAGAATAAGAGTTTCTTTTCTTTTCTTTTTTAATTAGCAAGGCATGAAGGCCTTTTGAATCATAGATATGGTTAGTGAGCTAATTGCACTCAATCAAGACTGTTCCTCATTTCAGAGGTAGTAGATTGAACTGCTGTGACTTTTTCTCTTCTGCAGACCCACCCACACTCAGCTATATATGTATTGTATACCGTGCCAGTTCCTCAATGTTCCTGCCATATGGATGTTTTATGCCATACACATGATTGAATTTATTTCCTGTTCTTCTGGATGGCAAAAGCAACGACACCGTCCTCTGTGTAGGGCAGGGGAGATGGATAAGCTTTGTCATGAAAGAAAACTAGAGCAAATTTATGAATTTGTTTGTCTTTAAATCTTTATATATTTCACTTATTTTCATGTAACATAATTATAATAAAATAGAAAGTGAACGTAATGTGTGAGAAAAATACTAAAGTAGTTACTTACATGAATCAATCATATTGATATATAAGACATATTGAGCCACTGATATGAAAGCAATTAAAATGGTTATTAAAATTGGAAAATCTTCATATAAATGTCAGTTCATTTCCATTTCAATATTTTAGTAAGCTATAAAAATATGTAATAGAAAGCTTTCATTCTTTTTCCCTTCCCGACTTTAGCCAAGATCAGCCTGTAACTGTGTTGAGTGATGGCAGATAGCGAGTATGGATTCAGGACATTAACAACTCCTCTCACAGAGTGCTGTGGTGATGTAACCTACTTGCAGTGAAGAGGGCCTTAGAGAGAAAAAGCTCAGACAGCCTGTTTAGGTGGAGAGAATCCTGTGAAATGTTTGTGAGTCACTTTGCTATGTTTGACAGCAACAGTTGTGCAAAATAGCTCAGAGTGAAGTCTTGCACTTGTGTCTCTACAGAGCAGCCAGAGCATTTGGAGAATACCTGTCCAATACCAATCCAGAGAACCGCAACGGAGCAGGTAGGTGGCACACTTAGTAGTCCTACAACAATACTATATCAGTATTATAACAATATAGTATTTAGTCGGAAATATCAGTTTCTCCGGCTTCATACGTATTTCCTACTCCCAAAAATACCTTAAAATATTTCTGTGTGAAATATTGCCCTGTGACATGTCGGATAATCAGTTATTAAAATATTTTAAAAATGCTAATGTTTATGTAATAAACGCTCAGCTTCAGGGTGCAGTCACACCACAACAGCAATGTTTCACAGGTTATCCCCAAAACCATAAGTATTTGATCACCCTAAAATCAGCTGCAGCGAACTATACTGTCACCTGCTAAGTGCTGAAAAATTGGAATTGGAAATTGGGCAAGTGTAAGGCTCTGAACAATTTTGACAGGGGCCAACCTGTGAGAGCAGGGTGACTGGTTCAGAAAATCTGCAAAACAGCACGTATTGTGGGTGGTTCCCAGAATGCAGTGGTTAAAGCTTACCAGAAGTGGCTGCAGACCATGTGGACAAGTTCAAGGCATCAGTGTTCCTTGATGGCAGTGGCTTCTTGAAGGACATGTATGGTATGGTATAAGGAACTTGACAGAGAACTGACTCCAGATTGCTCTATCCTGCTGCTCGATTCCGTTGTGAATCCTGATACTACAGGACACCATCCAAGGTCCATACCTCAACAATTCTAAGCAGGATATCTTAATGTTGCAGATTACTGATATATCTGCAAGTTCTTCCCCCTTGCTGTTGGCAAGTGCTGTTCATAGAGGATTATCATATTGTAGGGTTTTTACTTTAACATGTAAAGCACTGTAAGATGACTACTTTTGTAAACTGATTATGAAAAAACAAAACTGAATTGGTAATGTAATTGAGGATTTATATTTTCAGTAGTAATTTATATTTTTTAGCATGCTCTTTTTAGTGCAAACATGTGGAATACATAAAGTAGCAGAAAACATGACAATTGAGATGGGGCTGAAGTTAGGTGCAAAGTGGCCTGCAGATACGCAGCATCTGTGGGCAGGCTAAAACAGGATTGTGTGCTTGCCAATTGGGAAGGGTCTGGAAGGGTATCAAGCGAGCTATCAGATGCACTGAGACCAGCTTACCTACTGGGATTGTGGTTGAGCTTAACTTAGTAACCTACTCAGTCTAATTCTATGCTAAGTTTAATTGTATCCTGGAAAAGCTGTTGTGACTAACTAGCACTTCCCTTTCCCCTACCTTTGCAATATCGCTTTTCTGTGTATGATTTCAACTTTATAAAAGGGAATCTTACAAATCTGTTTGCTTTCCACTCAGTTTTTCTTCAGTATAACTTAGTAAGTAAAGTAAAGTAAAATTTTATTTATAAAGCACCTTTCAAGATAAAAATCAAAAAGTGCTTCACAGAAGCTAAAACCTAAAAATAAAAATCAACCAAAAGCAAGTTTAAAAAGATGAGTTTTTAGCTGTTTTTTAAAAGCGACCACGGAGTCCACAGATCTCAGGCTCAAAGGGAGAGAGTTCCACAATCTGGGGGCCACAGTTACAAAAGCTTTGTTGCCTTTTGTTTTCAGCCTCATGTGTAGGATAACCAGCAAGCCCTAGTCACATTACCTCAGGGACCTGCTGGTAATGTATGGATGTAAAAGTTCACTTATACAGGGAGTGCAGAATTATTAGGCAAGTTGTATTTTTGAGGAATAATTTTATTATTGAACAACAACCATGTTCTCAATGAACCCAATAATATCAAAGCTGAATGTTTTTGGAAGTAGTTTTTAGTTTGTTTTTAGTTTTAGCTATTTTAGGGGGATATCTGTGTGTGCAGATGACTATAAC